TTTCCCTCTGGTCCTTGCATGAAGGCCTCCACCTGTCACACCTCTTTTTTTATGAGGCTTTTCCTCCAACATGAAGATGGCCACCCTTCATACCTCTTTTTCTTTTTTTCTTTTTCATAAAGCTTGGCCACAGCACTGTGTGGTCACTGGCATCTTATCTTTTTCTTCTTTCCAGCTTAAAAAAACCCAAAACCCAGGACATGAGAGAGATGTACTGCCGAATATGATGAGAGATTATTTCTTTTGATTCCAAAGCGATGTTACTATTATGAACATCCCCCAACCCCCTCCTGCTTTCATTGAGTCTAATATGCTAGTTTTAGGAGTGCAGTGAAAGTGGGAGGTGGGCGGTGACAAAGCATAGCCTTGGGTGTCTCTCACTGTCCCAGTGGCTTCCCTGCCCCTGGGCACTGGAGCAGGACAGAGATCAGCTAACTGGTTAAAGGGCAGATTAACCTCCATCTACAGACTTCTCTGACCTTTTATGTGAATCTGAGTTAAGCTCTGTTATGAGCCTAATTGCCCAATAGGATTTTAAGATTATTGTTGTTGTAGAGTCTATACTGACACATAGCTGACCCTGGGGCGTGTTTTTTCAGAGGCAGTTAATCCCAAGGGAGGAAACTGCCCATCCTTCTCCCACAGAGCAGCTGGTGGCCTCAAACTGTGTGCCTTTGGGATTGCAGTGCTGCTTCTTGCCAGTAGACCACCAGAGCTCATTCTCTGGTGAAGGAAGGGAATCCCTAGGTGGTGGAAAGGGAGGTTAACACATTCTTCTGCTAACTAAATCCTGACAGTGTGGGCCTACCCTGAAGCATCTGCGGTGGGCGGGAGGCCTGGTGACCACCGTACTTCTGGAAAAGTCATCCATGGAAAGCCATAAGGGGGGGGAGATCTGCTCTGATGCTGTGGTGTCCCGGGGTCACAATGGTCCAGTAGCAGCCCGTTTCTTGGATGCAAGCACTTGGCCATCGTCTTTCTAACCCCTGTGACAAGGGTGGGAAAGCAAAGACTCATCCCCTTTTGTTTCCTTAATGGCATCTCAGTTAGAACTTAAACTGTTCAGCAAAATGTACATGGTAAAATTTAAATACGACATTTTGATGTGTTTTTGCACGCTGAATGCTTTGGTGTGCACTTATTTGAAAGAACCAGCATATGCTTTGCATATTTTGTTGGAAATTTTGCATCTTAAAGCATATGGGATAATAAGAAACTGGAGAAATCTAGCCTTTGTTAAGCATTAGTTCCCTGGTGGCCCCCACCCCATCCTGAACCCTGGGATCCAACCTGTGTCTTATTAACTTCCACTTCACAGCTGGTCTGTTACCCTCGTCCAAGGGCAGTGTCTTGTTCTGCTCATCTGTGCCCCTGAAGAACTAGAACTAGCGATACAACAGCATGTCCTTCAATTGATTTCTTTTCTTTTCTCTTTCAGCAAATCTCCCCAGCAGGCCACAGGTAAGAGTTAAGGCGCTAACTGAATAAAATGCTGCTGATGATAAGCCACACTAAACAGATTGATTAGTTGTAACTGATTTTTAACACTGTTGTATTGTCCATTTAAATAAGCAAAGTTCCTTGACATTTAAATACTACTTGATTCACACATTTGTCCCGTCAAAGAAGAGGCTTTGCCAGAATCACTTCTTCTAGATCCCAGAAATGCCTTATACTTCCTTATCTGCACTGACATCTTCTTTTCTTTTTAAATTTTATTTTTAAATTTTTTTTAACTTTATTATTTGCGTGTGTGGGTGTGTGTGTGTGTGTGTGTACTGTCAAATCAGATCTGACTGGTACAAGAGGAGATTGCCCCTCCTTCTCCAGTAAAGCATCTGGTGGATTTGAACTGCTTACCTCTGGGATTGCTGTGTGTACTGACATCTTCTAATAGCATCATATGTAGTTTGCTCAGACACAGACATAGCAACGCAACAGGGCCAGGCAGTGTTTTGTTCTACTTACTCTCAAGGTTGCCATGAATTGGAACCAAAATGCCAGCAACTACCACACAAGTACCCAGGAAAAATAATATCGAATGACTGTTCCCATAAATACCCACTTAAAGTTAGTGGCACAGAAAATTGAGTTTCCATAATTGATTAGTGCCACAAAGACACCTTCAGGGGAGTGAAAAGGGATCCACTTTTTATTTAAAGATTTGCTGAGAACTGTTGGCAGCTGCAGCCTCCTGATTTTCAGTATTTTCCCTATCAGCCCTCTTGGTCAAAATGTGTCACAAGGCTGCAGTAATCCCTGGGGAGCATTTTCTTTGATAGATTTGTTTATTAGTGTTTTGTTTAAAAAGAGTGACTCTTCTGAGTCAAGTTGTCTTATTGGCAAGGGAGATCAGGAGCCTAACGAGATGCAGAGGCAGAAAGCTCACCTTTAGTAAGAGAAGGAAGAGCAAGGGCGGGTGAGCTGACTGGATGTGGTGGTGAGAGTGTGTGTGTGGGGGGGTTCCTCTTCTTATTGCTCTTTGATGGTTCTTGGGAAACGGGGACTTCAGGAGGGAGTAAGGACTGAAAGGAAGTGTTATTGGAGTTGTGAAGAGGTTCTGGAGAGAAGGCACTAGATCCCTATTAGTTGGGAAAGGAGACGGGCTGGGGAAACAGAACGGGCAAGCAGAGAACGTTAAAGGTCCACGCGATATTCTTACTTGTGACTTTAACCCGAGACCTCTCCACAGAGCTGTGCCTTGCTCTCCCGCTGTATTCAGCTGGAGGCATCAGAATAGGCTGAGTAATGGAATAAACCAGAGTTGAGGTTGTGGTTTGGCCATGTAAGTTGAAGGAAAAAGGCAAGAGATTTTTTATTTTTTTATTCACCTCCACGATTAGAACATTTAAACTGGATGGAAAGAGAAGTGAAAATGTTTCTTTTGCTGTGACAAGGTGGGGGAAATGGTAGAATCAGTGGCTTGCAGTAGCCAATGAGCAGTGGACGTAACCTGGAAAGATAGACGTGGAGGTGAGATGAGGTGAGGGAAGGTGAGATGAGATTGTTGGATTTGGTGGGATGGAGGGTTTACAGGTATTAGTGATGATCCTTGTTTGACCCATTGTGTGAGTGGCTAAGGAGAATAATGGACAGGATTATTGGAAGAGAGAATTCAAGGGACCTGTGGTAACTTGTGGTCGCTGTGAAGCTGAACACTGTGACACTGATGTGTCAAATGTGTTAATGGTTGGTTACCCATGGTGGACAGCATTTGGTGGAGCTCCCCGATTAAAACAAGCTTGGAAGCAGGAGTGGCATCCACTTCCTTAAATAGCTTGCCTCCGGAAACCCTATGAACCTGGAGAAAGGGTGAAAGTTACACAAGTGTTGAGGACTTGCATTCATAGAGTCGCTATGAGTCGCCTATGACTCGATGGCACTCAACAACAAGAGACTAGATAGCTGCACGAACCATGTGCACTGAAATAACTAAGACTTGAAAATAGCTTTGGAGACAGTCCATGAAGATGAATCTTCTAAGAAATGCAGTGAACTGACCCATCAGGTGGTCAGTAACTGCCTACGCCAAGAAGAGGGAGGGGCCCTTATTGTCTAATGGCGTTATAGCTGGGTGTTTCTAGGCAAGAGAGGAAAAAATGCTCTGGAAGTTTCACTGAGGCACTTGAAAGTGACTTGCCCAATATACAAGGACAAGGTCCTTAAGAGAAGTGGGAGCTCTGTTAGCCTAGGGGCAAGAAGCTGCTCTGCAATCCCGAAAGCTTGGGTTTAAGGCCACCAGCTGCTTTTCAGGAGAAGGACCAGCATTCTCCTCCTGTGCCTCTGAAAACCCATCAGAGGATCGCTGTGGGTCTGTTTCCAACACTGTAGTCCACACAAACCTAGCAGAGCAGCACTAGAAGAGAGATTATGGAGGGAACTGCAGTGAGATTTCAGGTGTTGTTTAGAGCAAGCATTCAGCTCAGCAGGACATGTGAGGATGTGGGTTTTGTAATGATCTGGAGAGCACAGGGGAAGACTTTCTGAATGAGCATGCGTGGGACATGGGGACAGAATGAGGGATTTCTCTGTGAACGGGGTGTGTTAGGGGAAGAGAAATCATTGGCATCTGGAGCCACTTTTAATCCATATGAAACAAAAATCAAGAACATGAGAGCAGCCCCGACCTCCCAGGTGGAGGTGAACCTAGAAGTTTCAGGACCACAAACACTTCACAAGTGTGCAGAGTTTGAAATGGAAGTCATCTTAGAGACCTTTCGCTCACTCTGGGTTTGAATAAGAAGAGGTGGAGTTAGTGGACGGAGCAAACATTTGACTTACTCCAACAGGCCCCTCGGTTTCGCTATAGCTCCCTTCCCCATTCCTTTTTGTTTGCTTGTTTGTTTCCTTGCATTATGTCCTGCTCTTTCTCTTAAAAATTATCATAAATACTCTATACCATGTAGCCACGGAAATTTATGAAACATGTATATTCACCTGAGTACTTTCCGTAGTCTTGAATTTTGAAACTTCAAATGAGAATCTGTGTGCCCTTTTTCATCAGTGTATCCAGTTATGAAGGATAATAGAATGCGTAGAAGTCATTTTAAGTCCTTTCAGCTTTTCTTTTTAATTGTGAATTGGCACCAAACTTTTAAAAATAAATAGGACTAAGTAACAACATGTTCTTTCCTAGGGAGAGCGAACTTCTCCCTTGGTTCTCAGAGTACTCTGAACTCACTTGGGCCCTTTCTCATGGAGCACCGTGTATTGTTGGGGTGTCTTTCACACCTCAGTATTCAGGAGCCCAAATCAATGACTCGGTCCCAATGGGAACATCCGTGCTTGCTGAGCTCTGCCTCCATCCAGCAGGGCAGCAAAATGTTCAAAATCCAGAAACAAGTTACCGAAGAAGCCAGATTTCAATAGTCATGGCAAATGTGGAATAGAATCTGGGTGAGAATAAAAATGAATTTGCTGTCTCTTGTTTTGAGAGGAAAAAGAGCCCCTTGGGCAGGTTTTCTAAATTGCTAGGAACATGGTACCAGGGCTTCCTGCCAACGTCTCCACATCAGAAGTGGCAAGGACAGAGACTATGGTTTCTGGGCGTCCTGAACACCATTCTTTGATTTATGAGGTGTGGCATCGTTTGGATGACTTTTCAGATTGATTTTTAAAAGTGTGTCCAACTCCAAAATCATTTTAAAAGATCAGCTTTTTGGCCTTCCCTTGCTAACTTTATGCCACCCTCAGAGTGTAGCCCCAGTTTTACATATCCTCTTGCTTGTGGATGCTGTCTCCAGAGCCGTTATGCAGCACCACTGTATACCATTGGATTCAGATTCTTATCTTGGCCTGGATTCTTCTGGAGCCTCAACTGCTTTGAGTTTTCATGATGTCGGGGCACACACCCTTTGCAGGAAACCCTCGGTTCCTGATGAGATATTTGGTCTTGTTGTTATGTGCCATTTGAGTTGCTGTAGCCCTAATCCCTGCTCTATCCTATACCAAACTCACCGTCTCTGACACACCTACTCCCATTACCCCAGTCACTGAATCGATCCATCTCATCGAGGGTCTTCCTCTCTTGCCCTGTCCCTCCACGCTCCCAAACATGATGCCCCTCTCCAAGGACTGGTCCCTCCTTGCATCATGCACAAAGTATGTCAGACGAAGCTTCAGAATCGTTGACTCCAAGGAGCAGCCTGGCTTCACCTTCTCTAGGATGAACTTGTTTCTTCTTCTAACAGTCCCTGTTATATTCAACACTCTTCTCCAGCACCACAGCTCAAAGGCATCAATTCTTTTTCTGTCATCCCTCATCACTGGCCATCTCTAGGATGCATAGCACTCAGTTGAGACCACTATGGCCTGGGGAAGGCGCACTTTAGTCTTCAGCCTGGCCTCATTGCTCTTCAGTACTCTGGGGAGGTCTTTCCCAATGATTTCCTGGCTGCTGGTACCAAGAGTATTGATTGTGGACGTAGGCCAGCTGAATTCACTGTCCTTTGGTACCCCAGCTGGAAAAAGCCAAATTCTGTTTTAACTTGATTTCCAACTTGAGCAGCAGAAAAGAGTTCCAGACAAAATGAAGGCTAAGGTATCAGATTGAGACAGAAGGGTCTCTCAACCTCAGGAGCAGAAGTCACATATGAATCAAACCGGGACCCCTGTGGACACAACGCTTAACTTTCTCAAAGACTTGATGGGCCTTTGCTACCTGTTTAGCTTTATTTAAATGTTGTCCTGACAGCGCTGTTTTCCATTCCCGCAGGCAATGTGAAGTCGTCATCCAGCCAACCAGCATTTCCTGACGTTGCAGTATTGCCCTTTCCAGCAAATGCCAATCCCAAGTTCCATTTAATCAGAAGCTGCATGGCTCCGTGAAACATGCTGTGGTGTGAGGACTGTGTGTTCTACCAAGGGAGTAAAACACTGACTTTCCAAAGAGAAAAGGATATTTTGTTTTTGTAATAAGCATATATTATTGTTTCCTTCTCCCCTTTCTATGCAACTGTAAATTAATGAACAGAGTGGTATTTGGAAACGGTAATACATTTGTCACAGATTTGTATAATGTATACAGCATTGGGAATGTGGGTGGGGGCTTTCTAAGAGGATATCTTATTTTTAATAACCATGTCAAAAATCCGTGAGAGTTAGGAGAGAGTTTTACATTTTTACATTCCTTTTGTTGTTCATATTGTACAATAGGGTCATTTATTTCTTTGACACCATCACAGTTTGGTTATTTATGATTCACCAACCACATGACCAAATAAGAGTTCATGTATTTGTTTTCATGATTTGGCCAAATTAATAAGTTTCATATAGTTCACTCAACTATTATATGTGTGTGTGAGGATTTGACTACGATTCTGTGTGTACTATTTAACTTTATTTCAAATCATATACTTTAGTGACCACTTGGTTAACCATATTAAAAAAACTGTGTGCCTAAGTGACATTTCCATTGGGATTATTTCATTCCTGGTATTTCCCTGCTCTATATAAGTAGTTCTTGATTTCTTTATTTATTTCCTGCCCCAGTCTATATCACAAAGGAGAAATAAAGCAGAATTATTATCTCCAAGATCATTTTACCAAAGCTTGTCCCATTACACGTGTTTTCATTTTTTTTCTGGGGACACACTTTTTATGCCATTATCTGTTTCCCAGGACTTAATTTTTGTCACTAAATATACCTTAGACTTTTAAGTAATCATACTGCTAGAATAAACAATATCATAGTGTTAGCTCCCTTTGAAAATATTTGTATTGCCACTTATATCTAATTGTAACCCCTTTATGTCCCTTGAAACACAGTTATGAGTTTGGGTTTTTTCCTCGTTCTGAAAGAAGAGGCCAACAGATACAGATTCGTTTGAATCTTGTTTCATCTTTGGAGGTGAATGACCAGATATTTTATTATTCTTCATTTCATCGTACATTTGAAAATGATGATTGTCAAAAGCCTTTGCCATGGCTTCATTGAAAGAGTGAAAGGAATATTCCCTGGTTGTGGCCCTGCCTATAGCTTTGAATGTATTCAACCAGCTGTTTGTTCATTGTCTAACTTAACATGTCCTTGATTCAATTTAAACATGTTATTTAATTACCAAAAATGTAGAGAAACCAAAACAAAATTAGTCCAAACAATGTATTTTGATTCCAGAGGGTGTGCTTTTAAAATATCTTTTTAAAGGAGATCTTAACTTTGGGTTCTCTTTAGCTGGGTTCTGGCCAGAAGGAGGCTTAAAGTTAGAAATTGCTATTTTAGACTAGGTTGAGTGGGTTGGGGGGAGGGGCGAGGGTGTCTATTTGCAGCATAGATATTTTGAGAAGAAGAAACTTGTTTTATATCAGAGGAAAGCCATGACCACCTTTCTACCTCAGAGCCATCTTCATCCATTGCATTGGAAATAGCTTTATGCTGCTGTAGTCTGCCAAGTCTAGAGCTTTTATCAGGCCATCTCATGCCAAGGAAAGCACCTATTTAATGGAGAGAAGAAAAGAAAAAGTCCCTGAAATCCAAGTTGTAGATTTGATGTCTTCTGTATTCTTAAGTTGAAAAGTTATGTATTAATTTTTCCCCCTGCCTGTGTTTGTATGCAAAGTGGCCTCTACTATTAAGGAACAATGACTTAAAACACTACATTGTAACTTTATTCTGAGTAATAATAAATAAAAAGAAATATAGTAACAACAAGAAGACATAAGTATGTAGTTCTTTTGAAATATGTGGTAAAGAACTAATCACAGATATCATCTGATCTGGTTCCATGTTGTATTTTTCATGCTGAATAAAAAGAATTTTAACACAGTTGACTGATTCTGCTGAGCTCTGTTTACTTGTGGACTTTTAAGCGACAGGTGTACCTTTATGAAAATAAAATATAAAGCAAGGGGCCGAGTGGTAAGAAACTTTGCTGCGATCCCAAAGGCGCAGGATTTGAATCCTCCAGCCGCCCTGGGGGAGAAGGCTGGGCGGTCTCCTCCAGGTAATGTACTGTCTCTGAAAACACCGGAGGGTCAGCTGTGAGTCAACAGCACACAACAGCAAACATCTTGGTAAACTCATATAATTCTTGCTATTTCTATCATGTATTCCTTCACTTTCCTTGTCTTTCTGCCCCCTTCTGTCATACATAGAAGGAGTTATAACACTCCCCATTTCCTTTAGAAATAGAAGGCCTCTTGATAGAAAAGAAGTAATGTTGGATTTTGAAGAAATGCACATGAAGCCTGCTGGGGATTTTTTTAATACAAGATATTACTGGTATTTAGTCAGTTACATATTTCCTTTCAAATTCACTTTAAGGCACTTCAGTAGTATTTGTTTTGATGCATTGAACTTTTAGTCGCTCTCGTAATTGGTTCAATCCATCTCTGAAAATAATGTTACTTGATTTTAAAATTAATAACTAGCTATTTTGTTGTTGTTATGTGCCATCGAGTTGCTTGCAACTCATAGAGACCCTATGTACAACAGCCCTAAACCCTGCTCTATTCTGTGCCAATCTCACTGCCTCTGACACACCCATCACGATTACCCCAGTCACTGAATCAATCCACCTCATAGAGGGTTTTCCCCTTCTGCACCGTCCCTCCACCCTTCCAAGCATGATGTCCCTCTCCAAGGACCTCTCCCTCCTTATAACATGTCCAAAGTATGTTGGACGAAGTCTCAGAATCCTAACCTCTAAGGAGCAGCGTGGTTTAACCCTCTCTGGGATGAATCTATTTGTTTTCTTGGCAGTCCAGGGTACATTCAGTACTCTTCTCCAGCACCACAGCTCAAAGGCATTAATTCTCCTTCTATCCTCCTTAGTCATTGTCCAACTCTCTGATGCATAACAA